ACACAGAGCCCCCGGCCACAGGGGAGCCTTCGGCTACAGCACAAACATCGAAGATTCCCTTTGAAGACAAGCAACAGCCGCATTTAAAGCGGCGTCACGTCCACCCACCGCATTTACTGCGGTGCACATGCGTATGCCGGTGCCATCCCGATTGAGGTGACCCATCGAGCGCTAGATTGTTGACACATGTACTCTTATCACATTTATTACTACTATAAATAGTAGCCCATTCCCCATTGTAAAGCATCACAAGCTCACATATTCGAATACACTTTCTATCTCTTACTTATTTCTTTGACTTCTCTCTAAGTTATTCCCGTAATAACCCCTCGGATAAGCTACCCCCGGGGTACACTATCCATCATTAAGGTTCATTAAAATTAGGGTTTGTTGGCATTAAACACGGGCAGTGAATAAATGCATTGACGAAGTATGTTGTGCATTGAATCGAAGGCCATAGGTCGTGTTATAATGTTGACGGAAAGTGCGGTGATTATGACCATTAGTGCAGTAATGTAGAGCAATAACACCGACATGAAATTGAATATATTTAATTAGATGTAAAATGCAAAAAAATATAAATAAAATCTATATAAATTTATAATTTGGATGAGAAGAGAACTAATAATGGCGGAAGTGCAGTGATATGTTACCGAATGTGCAGTAATTTCATGTAGTAATGTCGTGCAGTAACTGCAGTATAAAGTGCATTATGTTTAATTGGACGAAAATAGTGTAAAATGCACATTTTTTAAATAAGGGTATTTTGGTCATTAAATATTTTAATATGAATGAATTTTTGTTTATATTTTTACTTTTCAATCATACAAATGTCTAAAAACATAACTAGTCATATTCAGGGAAACTCAATATGTTTTAGTCATATTCCGGGAAATTTCCCTAAAATTAATTAATAAGTTAGATATAGTCAAACAAACCCATAGGCATTAGTTACTTGTCGATAGCGGCATTCCGTTACTCTTTTATTTTTTTGTTCGCTCAATGGAAATTAAAATTGATGTTACTCTTTTACGAAGTTGTACTTTTAGAGGGTGTTTCATAAATCATATGGATCGGGCGTCTCTACCTTACTTAAGCAGCCAAGGAGGGTGCCTGGCTGTTTACATCCGTCAGATTGGAAATTCGACGGCCGAAGATCTTGGGCTCCACCCCTTTACCGATCTCGAGATCCTGCTCGTCGCTTCGTGGCCGTCGGATGCCGCAAGGCACTTTGCCTTATGGCAGAGGATCTTGATCCGTTTCATATGGGGTAAAATAAATATTTCGAATGCAAAGTGCACAGAGATAAAAAGTTTACAATGTTTGGCTGAATTGTTTAATATAAAGTAGAAGATACTATTTAAACACTACGCATTGTACCGTGTAAAGTATTTTAAATGGGGGAGAATAGTAAAATACTTTGCATGTTTTTATAAAGTATTGCAACGTGTTCGCGTGCAAATTAAAAATAAATTACACATCTAGCCAAATAATGTAATCATTTTACATGTAAAATGACCGCTTCCATAAACTGTGCATGCAATCATTTCGGGTGCAAAGATTTAACATTTAACTACCAAACGAGACCTTACATTGGCCGAGATGGGACTCACATGAAATAGGAAAACTTCAATGCGGATCAAATAATAATAATAATAGTAATAATAATAACAATAACAGTAACAAAAACAAAAACAATAATACCAGAGTTAAGTAAGGGGTTCTTCCACCGTCTCATTTTACTTGTCATTTTTTTTGTGATTGTCCAAATAAATGTCATATTTCCTTTTTTGGAAAGAAATACGTGACCTACAACATTTCACTTTATTATAATCAAATCTCAACTACAACATTTACTTTTTCAATCTTTTTATTAATAATTGAGACAAATCAAAAGAAGACACATAAAATGATAGTATTAGTCCGTATTATGCAGCACTACATACTATGTATTAACCAAAAGATAGTTCCTTAAATATGCGTAAAATATGGAGGAAGTGCAAAAACAGGAGTAAGTTTTTAAAATTCCCCGAGAGTAGTTTTTCAAGGTTGGGTAAGGATAAGTGGATAACCCTATGGGCTCTGGGCAGCCACCGGCAGTTGGTATCCTGTGGGAGCAGCCCACGGTGAGCATGCTGCTCCCACAGAAAAAAAGTGTGTTATTGTTCACACACGTGAACAATAATTTCTTTTTTTTTTCACTGTCCCAGTAGCGGAATAGGTGTAACTCGCGTGTAACAAAATGTAACTCACGTTAATAAGAAATGTACAAAAAGCAAGTCAAAATGTAACTTGTCTAATATGAATTATAAGAAACAAAACATTGATTTTAATGAAAACAAGGAGTCTAATTGCTCAATTACTCTACTTAAATAGTTTATATGTTTTGTTTTTAAAATTAAGGACATAATTTTTTTTAATCTTTTTTTGCCAAAAAATTATTTTGTTTTTGCAAAAAAGTGATTTTTTATTCAATAGCAAGGTGTAACATAAATGGTGAATATATATATATTTTAATATTAAGTCCATAAAAATGTTTTTAAAAATATATTTTTTGCCAAAACACATATTTTTTTGGGAAAACATTTTTTTTTGCATAACAATGATTCTTTTGTTTCAATAGTAGGTTTTATGTTGTGATGTAATTCGTATTACAGAAAATGTAACCCGCGTTAATTGAAAATCTAACTTTAGTGATGCAAAATGTAACTTGTTGAGGCAAACTCAAATGTAACTCGCGTATAGAAAGATGCAAATCACACACAAGAAGATGTAAATCGTTCATAAGAAGATGTAACTCCATATAATATCAAATGTAATTATAGAAATTGTCTATAAACATAACTCACACATAATTACATGTAACTCGCGCATAAAAGTATGTAACTCGCGTATAAGAAGATGTAACTCACGCATAACAAGATGTAACTCACGCATAATAACTTGTAACTCGAGTATAAGATGATGTAACTTCAATTCGTATATTATTAAATGTAACTCCAAGCTAGAATCAAAATAAACAAACTCAATATCTTAAAAACCTTTAAAAACATATAAAAGTGATAAAAAAAATACGAAATATATTATAGAAAAAGTGTATGCATATAAAAATATATTACAAAAAAATGTATGAATGTAAAAAAGATATTACAAAAAATAATGTATGAATATGAAATGTAATGTACTTTTTTTATTTAGATTATTAAACTTTTTGTTATGTATTGATAAAGAATTAAAAAATAGATTCAATTATAATTTAAAGACATAATGGAAACTAATAATCCAACCTTTTAGCGGTATTCTTACAATAGTCCTACCTTTTGATTATTCAGGAATAATCCAACCTTTTCACCTCATCTTCATTCAATGGTCCCTGACCGGTTGATGACCCGCTATTCCAAGTTATTTTCTTATCTTTGCAATATATTATACCATAAATCTCACCTTATGGTCACATAAAGTTTTGCAAAGATAAGATGGGGTGCAAAGGTTGAATTATTCCTGAATAATCAAAAGGTTGATGGAAACCGCTAAAATAACTTGCTATTGTAAGAAAACCGCTAAAAGATTGGATTATTAGTTTCCATTTTCCCTAATTTAAATTGAAGATAAGGAAAAGTAAAACTACAATTAAATTTTTAATATTTTAATTTGATGGAAATGGAGAAGAATTAAAGAAAAGAAAAATAAAGAAAGAATAATAAGAGAAAAAGGAAGGAAGAAGCTCCGAGGAAGAAAAGAAAGGAACGTAACTTTGTAAAAGCGAGATCGACACACCATGGTATAATTTGCGACCACCGGAGCTACTATCACCGATCGCCAGAATTTGCTAATTTTTTTTGAGAAGGAGAGTTCTACGGTACCTCTTAAAATTAAGAGTGTACCGTACCTATTTGATTGCTCAACCAATACTACTTTGACATACATAATATTAAAACATGCACACAAAAGTGGGGCAATTTTTCATTGGTCCACATAATGCAATGTATCATACCTTTGAAATTTTGAGAGGCACCATAGAAGGACCCGATTGAGAATGCATCTGCCAACAATATGACGCCCCATTGGCGCAAATTATACCGTACACTCGGATGTACGGTCGTCACGGTGCATCCGGGTATTTTTGCAATTAATTACAAATTTGGTGGTAAAGATTGGGGATGGAGAAGACTGTTCAGCGCTCACTGATGTCTTGGGAATCGATGGAGGAGGATCTACGCACATCTCTCCTCTCCGCCCATGGCCTTCCACGCACGAAGCAACAACACCATCGCCACCTGTCTGCAATCGCCGCTGCACAGCCTTCAGATGGAGGATGTTGATTCCGAACCTAAGGCGGCGGATTCGAGCTTCAGTGTCTAGTACGCCGTCGGATGAAGTTCGCCCGCCACTGTAGACCACACCTGATGCTAAAATGAGTTTTTATGTTAACTACAAATGAGTATAACGTCCAAAATGAATGAGCACACAAAAATGCGTTTTTAAATTTTTGATACTCATTTCGTAAGTTATGTATGTTCATTTGGTAGTAATGGTATGCTCATTTTAAAATGCCATAACATCACGATACTCATTTTTAGGCTCCTATTACTCAAAAGAATAGGCATGATGTTCACCAAACTTGCATTAATGCTCATTAAAGGTTATTGGGCCTCATAATACTCAATACAATAGGTCAGATGCTCACTAAAAGTACAATATTGCTCATTTAGCGGAAGACTGATTTTTCGCTTAAGTTACAAAAATGACACCGATTTTTTTTTGGTATGTATCGGTTATTGGGTTGTCAATCTTACTTGGGCCGGGTGTAGGTACACCCGGGTAGGATGCACTATATATGAGCTGCCCCATTGGCCGTCAAAGATCCCCGCCGCTCAATGTCCGCACCAGCCAATTGATCCAATTATGCAAGGAAACCACGAACGATTAATTGTGAAGTACATTAATTAGACTCGGTACTGAGAGTAAAAAATTAACATGGAGTCCTATTTAGGAAATTAATTAGACTTTATGCTTTACTAAGGCAATTACCAGCTCAATTCAATTTTTGAGTCCCTGACCAGTCAGCACTCACTTTTAGAAGTGACACTGAAATGGCGATGGCTACACGGCAGCGACGGCCGCCGACGCCAACGGATCTATCGGAACCGGTGCCGTATTCGAAGCTAGACAAGCCGGAGAAGTCGAACTCGAAGGATGCTGAGGAGAGAGGGGTTGGCTGGTTTCTGCCGATCGTGTGCTTAGGGCTACTGAGGTATATGAGCGCTACAACGAACATAATACATGACTGCGATGAGACCTTCAATTATTGGGAGCCTCTTCACTACCTCCTCTACAAGTCTGGCTTCCAAACATGGGAATACAGGTTCACCCCATATATGCAATTCTACATCTGTGCTTCATTTTATTTATTATGCCATTTTTATATTGCTTAAGTAATTCTTTAATAGATTTCCTCGTATCTTGTTGGAAGATATATGATAGTTGATATTTTACAATTACAATTTTGACCATGAAACTTCCATGAACCTCAGCAAGTTATTTGAGATATTAAAAATCTTGTTTGCTGCTACTATCTTGCATTGAATCTAGATCGTTTTTAATAGAATTAACAATGGATCATTCTTTTCTGGAACAGTAATGGTTAAGGATCTAGTAATGGTAATCAGTATATAATGTGGTAGATTCCCATTTTGACACTGCATTCAGCTCAATTATTTATTAATTTTGTAACTTTGTTACCAAGATACTTCCTTTTGTCTATCAAGCCTTATTAGATACACTGTTAATGGTGATGGGACTTATATATGTTTTCTTTGGCTTTGGAGTTTGGACTTTTGGTCATCATAACTTTTGTTGTCATGGATTGTAAGTCATTTTATTTGCATTACATGTCTTTTGCAGTTCACAGTTTGCATTGAGGTCGTATCTGTATATTCTATTTCACAATTTAGTGGGTTTACCAGCTTCCTGGTGGTTCGGCGAGGAGAAAGTGAGTCATATTTTTTTTCCTGAATATTTAATATTTTGTTGTTTTCTAATTTCACATGCTTGTTCAGGTTAGAGTATTTTACTCTGTAAGAATATTTCTTGGCCTTTTATCTGTCATCACAGAGGCTGCTCTTGTTGTGGCCCTTTCCCGGAAGTATGGAAAACGCCTTGCTTCATATACACTTGCCATGCTATGTTTAACCAGCGGCTGCTTCTTTGCTAGTACAAGTACACATTTATACTGTTCACCAAGTGTCATCTATAGTTAAATCTTATTGTTTAGTGTCTCTCATACACCCCATTGTTTTATATTATTACACTAATTCTGATTGTATGCTTCTATGCACAGGTTTCCTTCCTAGCTCGTTCTCTATGTATGCCATGTCTCTTTCATCAGCATTATTTCTTTTTGAGAAGCCTGCCATGGCTGTTGCTGTTGCAGCAACTGGAGTTATTGTAGGCTGGCCTTTTTCGGTGTTAGCATTTCTTCCAATCACACTATACTCGTTGATTAGAAGATTCCGGCAAGTATTTCTTACTGGGGTTATCACTTCTACTGTCGTTGTGGTATGTTTGCTTTGAATGTTGTCTTACTTCACCTCCCTTTTGTTCTATACTCAGTTGATACCTGTTTCCTTCCCATCATCATGAAATGCTTTTGCCCGTAAAAAGTTCAAACTGCTAGATACTGCATATTACAGTAACATTTTATTAAAAAATATTTCAGGTTTTCTCTATACTTGTTGACCATTTTTACTACAAAAAGTGGACATCTTCTGTTGTGAATTTATTGTTGTACAATGCCCTAGGGGGTGGGCAAAGTCATCTCTATGGTACTGAAGGGCCATTGTTTTACCTGAGGAATGGCTTTAATAATTTCAACATTGGCTTTGTACTCGCTCTACTATTCATTGGCATATTTCCCATTGCTAAAAAGAAGTATGACCGTGAGTTGTTGGTTGTCATTTCACCTGTGTATATCTGGCTTGCTTTTATGTCATTACAGTCACACAAAGAAGAAAGGTTAGCTTATCTCCATTCATAGTTGTTTTATTAACTACATACACGTTTTTATTTTTCTGCCCCATTGTTACATCTTGTTTTCCTTAATGAAGATTTGAAAAATATCTCATTTTATTTTGGCATGTATAAATTCTACTTTCCCTAATGACCTGGCAAGTTCATGTCAATGTTGGTGATATTTGTCTGTAGAGCTTGAATACCTGCAACCAATCTGCAAAATTTTTAAATCCTGGCCTTGCAAACCTGAACCTTAAACTTGTGGGTTATTTCTGGTACACCCTAAGTTTGTATAAGCAAAAAACCATTAGACCAAAAAAACTCGGATATCATGGCAAACTATATCATGTACCCCCACTGCACCATTTTCTTTCCCCAAAACAAAGTGTAATATTTCCTGTACATCGATTCAACATCTATAGTAATTGAAAAGATGTTCATTGGTTTATGTTCTTCGGCATTCTTATAGTTATTCATTCCTAAAGTGAGACACTCGGAAAGAAAGAACACATAGTATACCCATTAATCACGGACATTAATAAACAACAGTTTTATACCAAGTGATGATGGACATTCATTTGCCATAGCCCATAACCTTCATTTTGCTTAATATTAACAAGAAAACCTTTTCTTCTCCCTCTCTGAGTTCTTGTTTATGGGATTCATTGTTCTCCCAACCATTGTTTATGGGATTCATTGTTAAGAGTTTTAAAAGAAACAAACAATCTGCTGCGTCAAGTATATCAATGTTTAAGTTTATATTGCACTAAACCTGGAAAAACTGTTGTGCAACTGTCTCTGCTTTTGTTATGCAACCTGAAAAGGTTTTCTATCTGATATATGTTTTTAAATCTTTAGTGTTATGTAGCTGCAGCCATATTTATTTTAAAATAATTACATTAGAATTAAATGCATGTTACTGTTATCTTAAAGTTGCAAAATGAATTATGTAAAAACAGATTTGTTTGTTGCTGCCTTTGCAGGTTCTTATACCCAATTTATCCACTTATTTGCATTGCTGCTTCAGCTGTGATTGAGAGCTTTCCTGACTTATTCCGCGATAAGTATAATCCTTATGACCCAAATGTGCTTGTTGTGGTAATATTCTCTGTGCCTTAGTCCTATATATTACTCCCTTCGTCTCGAAATAAAGTTGTTGTTTAGTTTTACACGCTTAATAAGAAAATTGATGAAAAAGAAAAGATGTAGTTGAGATTTGGATATAAATGATAAGCACATATTTCTTTCCTTAAAAGAAAACAAGAAGATTATTTTGGGTCGGTTCTAAAAAGAAAATAGGAAGTTTATTTTGGGACACGAGTATATCATAAGATCTTGCTTGTTCAAGCTGTGATGGAGACTAAAATGTTAGATTTGCTTATGACAGGTTTCGAAGTTTCTAAGACCTGTGGCTCTTGGCCTAATTTTATGTGCCTCCCATGCTAGGACTTTCTCTCTGATTAATGGTTATTCTGCTCCATTAGAAATATACAAACATTTGGATTATCATGATGATGTTGGAGCAGGTGCGATCTTCAGAAATATCATTAAAATATATGTGAAATTAATTTTCATCATCAGCATATCGGAACATGTTAAAATCCCTGAGTTTCATTTTAAAAGTTACTTTCCTTTTTGGACTGTCCAAAAAGTATGAGCACTTTCTTTTTTTACTTTCATACTTTGTCCCTTTATTTATCAATTCACCTTCTTACTTTTTATGGACTTATACTGTGTTATCTTACTTTTTGAAGGTTACAACTGTAAAAAGCAACTACATACTTGTATTTTTTTCTTTAAACACTTGTCAAACCCAAAATGTATCTTACATTTTGGGAAAGAGGCAATATTAATTTTCTGTAATTTGTTATGAAAATCTATGTGATCAATCTCCATTATTTTCCCGAAATCTTGAAGTGTTGTTGTGAACGGTTCATCTTTGTATTGTTAATCACTAACGGGAACAACCCCTTACCCATTGTATTTCAGGGGCAACCCTTTGTGTTGGAAGTGAGTGGCATCGCTTCCCCACATCCTTTTTGGTTCCTGAGTATGTGGACAAAGTACGTTGGTTGGATGATGGATTCAAGGGTCTTCTGCCATTGCCATTTAATACTAGTTTGGGTGGGACTTCTGCAGCACCAACTTATTTCAACAATAAGAACAAGGCTTCGGACAACCAATATGTAATCAGTCTATTTCCTTATTGCACGCTTCGTTTGTGTGAATGTTGTTTGTATTATTATTGTTTACCACATCTATATCCAATGAGTCACTCTGGCATATTAAGTATTTAGGGGGTGTTTGGAACTGATTCTGCTTCTGCTTCTTTTTTAAAACAGAAGCAGAATCAGAATCAGTTTTCAGAAGCTGGTACCCCCCAGCTTCTAAAAAAACTGATTCTAGGAGTAAATTAGAGCATCAGAATCACTTCTGCATTTTCACCCAAACACTCCAACTTCTGCTTCTGCTCCCTGAAGGAGCAGAAGCATTTTTAAGAATCAGATCCAAACACCCCCTTAAGTCAATGCCATAGGCATAATACAAGCTCACATATAAACCTCGAGTTACACCCCTATGAGATTCTTTTAAGTTTTTTTGGAAGAATGAGATTCTTTTAAGTTAGAACCTGAAATCTGAATTATTATTACCATTATCATTTTTCACTTTCTGGATGATCTCCACGACCTGCCATGTTTTACATGGTTTTTGTGCTACAATACAAGACTATTGCGATTGACATTTTTATGTCGGTAATAACATGACAGATCACCAATCCTGATGAGTGTACCTTCCTAATAGAGCTGCAGTTGCAACGACCTCATTTGACCCGAGGAAGCGATTCTTCAAAATGGGAGGTAATTATTCGACATTCACAATTCTTTCTTTTCATTTCATGCAGCACTTTGTTGACAAGATATTTGGCCTCAGGTTGTTGCAGCCTTTCCTTATTTGGATAGAGAACTATCACCGCCCTTATACCGATCATTCTTTATTCCATATCGTTGGCAGCAAATGAATGTCTTTGGCCTATACAAGCTACTTAGAAGAATAGGGAATTGAAAGTAGGTTAAGAAGCTGGACTATTCGGATAGAGATCAGCTAACATTAGACTATTAGAGGCATGCTATTTCTTACCTGACTAAGTTGCTACTCAGTACTATACTTCGGCAGCGACTGGCCAACTGATCCATCTTTACCCAATACTAATGCTTCTTTATTGCGACTTTCTTTTCTGTATTTTGTTATGCATTACTCTGAAGTTAGGACATCTGTGACCTGTGACCTATTGGCACTCATTTCCTATTGGCACTCAAAATCTGTGACCTGTGACCTGTGACCAGTGACCTGTATTTTGTCATACTTCTCGGTCTCTTTTGATCATCATACTTATTTAAAAGTTAATTATATTCCCTTTTCTTTTAAGTAAAGCATTTTGTAGTTCACATTTTTTTCTAGCTTTTCTATATAAATACTCCCTCCGTCCCATTAGAAGGTTCCCGTTCACTATTCTCATGGTCAACTTAAATCATTTTTAATCTTTTACTTTATAAATCAAATCTTTACCAAATTTACATTTTTTTATAATCTTTGTAGCGGTTTTAATGTAGTTTTTGAATATGTTAATTTTATTTACTAAAAATAATCAGAGTGTGAACAGAGATTGAATTGCTTTATCGTCAGTCAAGCATCGTAAACCGTTCACCGGAACCTTCTAGCTGGAAGGACGGAGTATTTGTTACAACACATGTAGCTTAATTGGTTGAATGGTGGAAAAGTTGGACGCTACAAGCCTACAACTCCTGTATGCTGGGCTGAACCTTTGATGCGCACCGGTACAAAGTCTATCGCCATTGGACTTATTGAGTCATCGTGACTTATAATCACCAAAATAGAAACTCGACTATTAATAAACTCGTTTAGATCGACTACTCATAAGTCATCTCTTTTTATTTAATTTACCCTCATTTATAAACTCAATAAATCATAATATTGCAATTTTCCGATGTGTTCCTTGTTTATTTTTTAAGAACTACATATAAAATGTAAATGATGTTCCACTGTTTTTGCAAATGGACATTTTCCCAAGGGATCATTTTAGGTAGAAAACATAAACATTAGAATCGTAGAAAGCTAATAGGAACAATAACAACATACAAGTCTCAGCCCCAAAAGATATTGGGGTCGGACAAAGCTAATAGGAACAAATGACTTTTTTTAACAAACATAGCAAAAGTACAAAATATGTCTCCTTTAAGAACAGACAGAAATGAAGATGGTTAGTTGGTCATTGCCCAAATGGCCAAATTGCTTATCCAGCTTATCATTATTTCATTACTTATAATTTGGGCCAAATTGCCCAAATTTTTAAATTATAATAATTAATACGGTACCTTGAAGATAAAATATAATTTGTCTTATACTTTAACACAATAACTAGTGTTCTACCCGTGTAATTGTGGATAAATAGGAAGTTACAACTCATCAATGATCCCCCCTTTCCCAGTTGTTATACCGCAGGAGCAGCCCACCATGAGCATGCTGCTCCCACAGACAAAAATACGCGTGTTACTGTTCACACGTGAATAGTAACTTATTTTTTGTTTTTCCAGTGTCCAGTAGCAGAGTAATGTAACTCGCGTCTAAAGAAATGTAACTCACGCTGATCAGAAATGTAACTGCAGGCAAGTTCAAATGTAACTTGTCTAATACGAACTATAAGAAATAAAACATTGATTTCCTTGAAACAAGGAGTCTAATTGCTCAATTACTTTACGTAAATAGTGAATATGTTTTGTTTTTAATATTAAGACCATAAATAATTTTTTCCCTTAAAATCAGTTTTTTTTTTGCCAAAAAATCATTTTTTTGCAAAAAAAATCATTTTTCCGCCATTTTTTCCCTTGCAAAAAACTCGTTTTTTTTGTTTCAATAGCATGTGTTTACTTGCATAGTGAATATGTTCTGCCAAAAAATATTTTTTTTTAAATCACTTTTTTGCTAAAGAAATCATTTTTTGCCTTGTTTGGCAAAAAATGATTTTTTTGTTTCAATAGTAGAGCTTTATGTTGCGATGTAACTTATGTTATAGAAAATATAACTCACGTTGATGAAAAATCTAACTTAGGTCAATGTAAAATGTAACTTGTTAAGGTAAGTCCAAATGTAACTCGTGTAAAGGAAGATGTAACTCACGCATAAAAAGATGTAACCTGCGCATAAGAAGATGTAACTTCATATACTATCAAATGTAAACAATGAAAACATGAAGTCTAATTGCTTAAATTTTTTTAACGTAAATAGTTAGTATGTTTTGTTTTTTGTATTAAGGCCATAAAAATGTTTCAAAGAAAAATAATATTTTTTGCCACAAATATTAATTTGTTTTGCTGCAAAATTATTTTTTTCCAAAAAAAAACTTTTTTGTTTGCAAAAAAAATTATTTTTTGGTTTCAATGGATGGATTTATTTCGTGATGTAACTCGTGTTATGAAAACATGTAACTCATGCTAAAAAATCTAAATTAGGTGTATGCAAAATATAGCTTGTTGAGGCAAGTCTAAATGTAACTCGTGTATAAGAAGATGTAACTCATGGACAACAAGATGTAATTCACCTATAAAATGATGTAACTTCATATAATATCACATGTAATTCCATAAATTGGCTATAAACATAACTCACACATATGAAAAACGTAATATAATTCATATTTTATGAAATTTAAATCGAAAAAACAAATTTTATGTCTTAAAAAAACTAAAAACATATCAAAGAGATAAGAAATATATTTTTCTTATAAAGAGATAAAGAAATATATTATAGGAAAAAAATTATGAACATGAAGATAAAGAATTTTTTTAGATGAATTATTATGTATTGATAAAGAATAAAAAATAGATTCAATTATAATTTAAGATGAAGATAAAGAAAGTAGGATTGCAATTAAATTTTTAGTATTTTAATTTGATGGAAAAAGAAAAGAATTGAACAAAAGAAAAAAAATGAAAAGCAAAGGAAAAGGAAATAACAAAGTTGGAGACAAAGGAAGTGGGAAAAAGAAAGTAACGTAACTTTCCTAAAAGTGGGATCGGCACACCATGCGGAAGGTGGGCCGATCCCACGGTATAATTTGCGCCCCGTTCCCCCTCCCATTCCACATTCCCCAACATACAAACTCCTCTTCTCCTTTCTCTTTACAAACACCGGCCGCAGGCACCCCAAGTACCACACCCTCCCATTCAAGTTAACTTGATACGTCTCACACTCACATTTTTTATTGTTTTTTCATCCTTTACATACAACTTTTCCTTCCACTCTTTTATCAATGATATATAGGCTATGTTTGGAAAAACTAGATGAAAAGATACTTTTATGAATTTTTTAATAACTGCTAGTTTTTAGTGACTTCGATTGTGTTAAAAATGAGAAACTTAACCAACCAAATAACCAATACGTAAATGAGAACTTTGTGTTCAAATTTAACTATTAAATTATTTATTCAATATCCTACAAAATTAACATACGGATACTTATATAGTTCTGCCATTCATATACGATTGATTGTGAATTTTGATTAAAACATAATTTTTTATTTTTGGTGACTTTTGTTTTTTGATTATATGACATTAAATTGTTACGGAGTATTAATTATTTTGTTCACTTTTATTAACACATCATTGAATGACTTAAACTTAATAAGGTTAAATTTTGAGTTTTCCTTATACTTAATATTTTTAATATTTTATTTAATCATTTTGCCAAATCTTACGATTTACGATTCGATTTTACGATTTGATTTTTAAATACTTGCACCGATTCAACCAAAAAATACGATTTTAACAACCTTGCATTCAATTTACTGGAAACATAAAAAATGCTCTAATACTGGAGTTGGAAAAAATGACTAAAGAAAGAAATAAGAAATCAAAGGACAGAAAAGAAGAAAAGAGCAACATACCTTGGGCGACATCGATGAATAAAATTCGAAGAAAATGATCATTTCCTTGGAAGACAAGTAGAGACCACAGAACAATGATATATTTTTCCCTATATATATGAGTCAGTGGTGGATAAAATGTTTCAATAATATAAATTTGGAGAAAGTAATACTTTTTTTAAAAGGGGGAAGTAATGCTTAGGAGATAATTACAACATGTCCAAAATGTAAGTTTTTTCATAAGATATTATTAATAAAATATCTACGGATAAAAATGCAACAATAAGTTATTATCTGTAAGTTTTATAGTCACTATATACGATGTAACATTTGAATACAATTATAATCATTAAAGTTATCATGATCACATTTTTGTCTGCTACTTTTGTTTTGGTTATATATTTTGAAATTATTTCCAAAATGTAATCTAAAAGTGATATATATGATTTGTGTCTTGGCTTGCATTGGTAGATGATCAGAATTTCATTCACTTTCTATGTTCACATTAGATGATCGATGTCGTAGTTCATATTAGTGTGTATTTAGTTCGGTTTTAATAAAAAAATCAAGGCTTGCTGCTCATTTAGTAATCATTAATTTGTGTAAATTGTATTGGTAGGTTGATATATAAGATTTTCCCCGAGAAAAAGAACTACCCTATTGTTAATTTTAATTTCTTTTTTGTTTGGTTTTCCTTAAATGAGTGATTTTTCTAATATTGTGAAATTTGATCTATCAGTTTGGGTGCATGATTTGGTATTGTTTATGACCATTAGATGTTACTACCTTCGTCCCGCTATGATTGTCCCGTTTTGCCTTATCGGTCCATCCCACTAAGATTGTTCCATACCAAATTTGGCAAAGTTTGTGTGGCTCTAAATCATTCTTACTTTATTCTTACTTTAACAATTCAATATCAACCATATAAACCACTTTTTATTGATTTGCGTGTAACTCCCTCTTGTCCCATTGTTAGCGGGACGGAGGGAGTATTATATACTCTATAAGATTTCAAATTCATTCCTACCTGGAATGCTTGTATGAAATTTGAAAGCCATTAGTGTTATAAGAAATATATGTTTGTAATCTCCTTATTAGCAATTAGTTTTGTATTGGTAAAATCACTACTATGCATCTTTTCTTTTATTTATGTCATTCATTTGAATTAATTTGCTCATATTTTTATGGGCAAATGGGAACAATGAGATATGTGAAGGTTTGAACTAATAAAGCCATCCACCGAAAGCTTCACGTCTTCACTTTCATGATCACCGTTGTCAGCATGTGCACATCCCATGTGCTTTGAGCCTTTCGCTCCGTATTGACAATATCCATGCCAACACAACGCTTCACACCCCTGTGTGTTGCCGGACCACGCTGCATCAGTCTGCACAGTCCCGGTCGTGCCACTGATCAGCCTCATGCACTGACGCCCTCCCACGTTCCAAGTCCAAACGTTGAGCATGCCCGCTCCGTTGCCAAAGGATCCCATC